TGGAGTTCCTTTGCACATACGTTGCCAGGAGGGACCAGTCCTTGGAGAGGGGCATTATGCTTGGACATATAGGGGGATAGTGCAGGACAGGAAGACCCTCGATGAGATGGATTGATTCAGTGACTGGGGTAATGGGGTTAGGTGTGTCAGAGACAATGAGATTGGCTCAGGATAGGCCAAGGTTCAGAGCTGTAGTATATAGGGTCACTGTGAGTCACAGGCAACTCAACAGCACATAACAACAACATGATATTAAAGGGGGCTCTTGTGGCTTTATGGTAAGGAATTGTACTGCCAACACAAAGGAACACAAATCCACCAGCTGTTCCACAGAAGAAGGATGGACAATCTCCTTCTATACAATTTGCTGCCTCTGAAAATCTGCTGGAGGATCAACCATGGGTTGATTTCAACTCCTCAAAAGTACTGAACAATAACAAAATGATGTCATCGAGTAGAATACCACTCATAGCAACCACACAGGATTAAAATCAAATCTATATGAAGATATGGTTAGCCTTTCAACCTTATCTAATTAATGGGAGGTTTCCTTAGAGGTGTGGCCTTCATGGCTGTATGTTTAGCAAAGAGCTACATAGGTTTTGTCCAATCTATACCTGGCTGCCTGTCTCTGGACTTCAACTAGCGGTCTGTTGTACTTGCTGACTTCAGACTTGCCATTATTAAAAGTCAGACATCTGCAACCCTGGTCTCCTATGATGACCTTAAGATGTGTCAGCAGTCTAAGACATGAAACCCAAGTGTCATTGGTTTTGCCTATCTAGAGAATTCAGCCCAAAACAAGGCTGTTCAGGACCTTCTAGTATATAAAACATAACCCATTCTTTAACAAAACACAAAAAGCTATTTTAAGAATTAGAAGCCATTGAAAAACAAGGAACAACAATATTAAAAACAAGGAAAAACAATATTATTCAAAATGGGTGACCCTGGAGGACATTATGCTGAGTGAAATATCTCAGTCACAAAGAGACAAATACTGCACAGTGCCACTGTTGTAAAACAGGACTGATATCGGGGTTTGGGGTAGACTGAGAAAGATGGGATAAATAATGTATACTGCATTGAAACAGATGAGGGAGAAAACTGTTTAAAAAGGATATGTGACTAGGTATTATTGTCATGACAGGAGTCCAGAATGAAGGCTGTATAGTGGAATACCTGGGGGAAGGGATTGTAAAACAATGGGGGAACTTTTCTTTTACTTTTCAAAGAGAAGAGTACACTGGGGCGGGTGGGGGCAAGGAGAAAAGTGCAACAGTGAATGAATGGAAATTCAAAGGGTCTGTACATTTTCATTAAAATTAATAAAAATATGATTAAAAAAAGAATTAGAAGAAACAGATGACATCACATTTTTACGTTATCTGCTGCTGCTGTTGTTAGGTGCTGTCGAGCCGGTTCCGACAAATTAGTGACCCTATCTACAATGGACCACACACTGCCTGATGCTGTGTCATCCTAATAATTGTTGCTATGCTGGAATCTACTGTTACAGCTACCATGCCAATTCATCTTATTGAGCATCTTCCTCTTTTTTTGATGACCTTCTACTTTACATGACCCCAAAGCCCAACTCATCGTCACTAAATCCAACTTAGAGTGACCCTGTAGGACACAGTATAACTTCCCTACAGAATGCAAAAACCTTTAAATAGTTATAGAAGATTTACCTATTAGTTTTCTCAAGAAGTAGCTAGTAGAGTCAAACTGGTAATTTTTTTGGTTAGCAGCACATTTTAGTTACCAGAGCCATCTGACCCAAGCCATAGTATTTTCTTTTTCTTTCTTTTTTTAAAGCCACGATATTTTCAATTTTCTTATAAGCATGTGAAAGCTGGGCAAGGAATAAGGAAGACTAAAGAATTTATGCCTTTGAATTATGTTGACAATGAATATGGAATACACCATGATCTGCCAAAAGCAAAATCTCTCTTAGAAGTACAGCAAGAATGCTTCTTAGAAACAAGGATGTTGAGACTTTATCTCATACTGTTGTTATTAGGTGTTGTTGAGTTGAGTATGACTCAAAGCAACTCTATGAACAAAAGATCTGAACCTTGTTCTATCCTGTGCCATCCTTACACTTCTGACATACAAGAGCCCACTGTAGCAGTCACTGTATCAGTCCACCTGGTTGAGGGTCTTCCTCTCCTTCGCCGACCCTCCACCCTTGCCAGCATCATGTCCTTCTCCAAGGAATAGCTCCTCCTAGCAACATGCCCAAATTATATGAAGTATATGAAGCCTCATTATCCTTGCCTCCAAAGAGCACTCTCTCTGGCTTACACCCTCTCCAAGATGTGCTTGTTTGTTCTTTTGGCAGCCCGTGGGATGTTCAGTGTTCATTGTTCTTATGTTGTTGTTTTTGTTATGTGCCATCGTGTCACTTGCGACTCATAGCGACCCTATGTACAATAGCCCTAAACTCTGCTCTGTCCTGTGCCAATCTCATTGTCTCCAACACACTCATTCCGATTGCCCCAGTCACCAAATCAATCCACTTCCCAGAGGGCCTTCCCCTCCTGCACCTGCCCTCCACCCTCCCAAGCATGATGTCCTTCTGCAAGGACCAGTCTCTCCTTACAACATGACCAAAGTATGTCAGATGAAGACTCAGAATCCTTGCCTCCAAGGAGCAGCCCGGTTTAACCCTCTCCAAGATGAATCTGTTTGTTTTCTTAGCAGTTCATGGGACCCTCAGCACTCTTCTCCAACACCAAAGCTCAAAAGCATCAATTCTCCTTATATCCTCCCTGGTCATAGTCAAGCTCTCTGACGCTTAACAAGTGATTGCAAAGACCATGGCCTGTATCAGACGCACCTTAGTCTCCAGAAAACACACCATTGCTCTTCAGTACTTTAGAGAGGTCCCTAA